AAATACGTATCAATCTATACATCAATAAGTTTAAAATATGTATAAATTAAATTACAGTAAATACATGTAAAATTATGTGTGTGTGTGTATGTGTGTGTGTGTGTGTACTCTGTGTATGTTAAAAGCACAAATATCACAGAAGTCCAAGAAATATATGGAGGTTTGACGGAGTTAATAAATGACCTCTCTTTTCATCATCTGAGTTTGAAAATAACTAAGAGATTGACAAAAAAGTTAGGCAGGTGGACGTTATTATGACTTTCAAATAAGTCATGGCAAGTTAGTATCAGTCTGCCACCTCTGAAGTTCTACGTAGCATCCTTGCCAGAGTTAAGCGAGAGATGAGAGTAGCTTGGACTGGGGTACTGGCAGCAAGGTGAAGAGCATGGATGGATTTGGGATGGGCATTAGAGGCAGAGATGACAGGACTTGCTGATGGATAGATTGTGGGGGAGGGGGTAAGGGAAAGAAAGACTCAAGCTTCCCTCCTCTGATTTGGTCTGCATAATGGTTTGGTAAGAAAAGGGTGCCATTTATGAAGATGTAGAGAACCGGAGGAGTGCTAGGCTTCTGGAAGCCTTCTGCAGTTGGGTCTTGGGCCTCTTACATTCTGATGTCTGTTAGAGAGCCAAGGCATGGGCTGCGTTTAGAGAAAGTGAGAGTCACATTCCTGCAGGTGTTCACACGTTCAAATTGAGGTTAAAAATATACTTGTCAGAGATCGTTCTGGAACATGCTCTGGAATTCTTTAGAGAAGACAGGGAGAATTGGCCTGGAGGAATTGTCAGGCTCCTCAACCTAGATGAATGTGTAGAAGGAGTTGTTTACACAGAGGGAGGCTGTCCAGAGCAGAGCCTAAAGATACTAGCAGAAGGCAGAGTGAGAGTGGTACCTGGGACGTAACGTCTAAATGGGGCCAGGTCCTGGCTGGAAGAGGGACGGGAGCCTTGGATCCACCAGCAGCTCTTCTGTGCTCAAAACCTATCCTGCTGACTAATTCTTTTCCTTTGGAGTCATTTGTCACAATCTCAGACTTGTCAGATACATTCATCATCCTTCAGAGAATATGATTTTTCATGAGAACATATCAGTGTATGGCAAACCTGTGGCCCATCTACCAGACTGCATATGCAGAACAAAGGGAAGTCACTCAGGCGACAGATGCTTCAGCCCCATGTATCAGTATATTTGGGGTCCTGGATTTTCAGGACTTGTCATTTTCCTCTTCATTTGTTAACTCAAATCTCAGCAGTCCCCTTTCTGAGCAGTAATGGGTGATGGCTGAGAACATACAGGCTCTGGAACCATGCTGTCTGGGTTCAAATGCTGCTTTGTGAGCTGAAAAAAATTATTTAAGTTTCTATGCCTCAGTTTTCTCATCTCTAAAATAGGCTAATGGCTGTATGTACCTCGTAGCGTGTTTGTGAGATTGACATGAGGGCATGCATGCAGAGTTCTTAGAACACTCTCTGTCACGTAGTCAGCATGCAGTCACCATGAGTTATGGGTTTTCACTGGCTTTGGTCAAGTTTTATCCTCTTCCAAAATTCAGAAAAGGTGAGATCAAGGAAGTATTCAGTCTTAAGGGTAAATTTCTTTGCATATTTTTTTTTAAGTTGTACTTTAGGTGAAGGCTTACAGAACAAATAGTTTCTCATGAAATAGAAGTACACATGTTGTTTTATGACATTGGTTAACAACCCCACAACAT